TTCCCATGTCACCCCAATGTCTTCCAATATAGATAATAAGACTTTGGGTTTCATTTTGATGTGACATCAGGCAAATCTACTTCAGCCTTTCATTTTACAGAAAAGTAGGGAAGGAGGAGGTAAGGACTAATATACATACATTAGGACATTATGAATTAGTGAACATGAAGTTAATGCTACAAGCTGGTCTTTGAATATGAGAGTATAATATCTACCCACCATTGGTGGAATACACAGTTTTCCAGTGGTGTGCTGAGCTTTTTCTGTAATAGCTATGCTTTCTTATTCATACTTCTTTGGGACCACAGAGGCACATTTCAAGCCAGCTGGCCTCAGCTAACACCTGGCTTAGAAGCCATGAAGAAGAAATCGAGGATACCTGGAGTGTGCATATTTTCCCATCTCAGTCTCCCTTTCTTAAATTCTAATCTGCCCTGGCACCTACAGAAATGAGGTAGATTTATTCCTTGTAATTCTTCCAGGCATAAAGAGCAACAGCTCACAACTATCAAAGCAAGGGCAAAGAAGTATCATTTAGAGGTGTGATCTTTTTATTGTTTGTTTTCTCTCTTTTAAACCAGAATCAAGAAATACTAAGTGCACACCTAGAAGCAAGTTTGAAGGCCCAGTTTGCACATTCTGGTCAGACATCGTTTCCCAAGACCCTGGGGAAGCCAGTAAGTAGATACCAGCTTGGCCTAATCAAACATTTGCCTTGCATAGGAAAAAAAAAAAAAAGCCCACAAAAAACAATAAGCCATCTCTTGCTTTCACAACATAAATCTGAGTTCAGTTAGATAGGCCAGCAAACCCCATTACACAGAGTACAAAGGCAATTACACAAGGCCAGCTCCAGCTAGACTCTAAGAAATCTATGACCCATGAGCTTCTTAGTAACCACACCAATGCCTTACTTGGAAATGACTGGAAAGTATGGTCTAGACAATAAAGACTCCACTTTGACACTTCCAGGCATGTTTGTCCTGGCCATCAGTCTGAGGCTACTGCCAAATCATGCCCCCTTTTCCACACCTGAGGATGATGGACAAGGCAAGTGGCTAGAGAACCTAGAGAGATTTCATAGATGGCCACCTTCTTGCTGTCTCCTCCACATGGCAGAAAGGGGCAAAAGATCTTTCTGGGGTCTTTTTTTTATAAGAAAACTTATCCTGTTCATGAGGACCTCATCCTCATAACCTAATCACCCCTAAAAGCCTCCCTTTCCTAATACTGTCACCTTGGGGCTTAAGTTTCTGCATATGAATTTTGGAGGACCAAACATTCAGTCTATAGCCAGGGGCATGGCAGCCATTTGTCTCATCTTCTCTGTAGAAACGAATGATTATATTGTGAGTCAAAAAGCCCATATAGCAGTGTCCTGAGCATGGTGGACCAGAAGCTGGGAAATTGAGGTTAGTGTTTGCTGCTGAGTTCTATTTGGGTGCTCCTGATGGCTTTGCTAAAATGAGATCACCCAGACATTAGAACTGACCACTCAAGACACTTCATTTTAGCAAAGTCTCAGAAAAAAATGGAATGTTTGAGAATGATCTTTGTGGTTAGAAAGTGACTTATTCATGGTACAACCAAAGGATGGCAGATACATACCATCCACAAGAGAACATGAGGTAAAGCAGACCAAGGTGGGAAAGTAGATTGTCCACAGCAAACAGGGC